AGCCCTCTGAGCTCTGCCCTTCAGAACTGGAATCAAACAGCTCTGCTTCAAACTGCAGTGCCTTTCGAAGGCCAGGCTTCTTTGCTGGAGAACTAAAGCAGAAGACTTTTCTATTAATAATAATATGTTAGCACATGCCCTGATCTTAATCAGTTCACTGTTCTTTAGGATGCCAGCACCTCTTTAGAAGAGTCTTTTCTTCACAGGGAAACATGAACAATGTTTGGATGTCCTGTGCTACACCAGCCCCGGGAGTTAATCTGGTTATATCCTCAGCACTGCCCTGACAACGCTGCCAAGAGTTCTGGCATTGTGGAGAAAGTCCTAACAGAGAAGCACTTACTGAAAGTGTCATAGAGCAGACAGAAATGGATGGGCTCTGTAGCATTTTGCAACGCTAGGGCACAGCAGTTTGTATTTTAAGTTAGGAACTGGCTTGCTGGAGACAAACCCAATGTGCTTTTTACAGCAAGAGATTATTTAAACATTTTACAGGGTCAAGTACAAACATGCTTTTTAAATCAAAGAATACTGATTCCTTCATAACATATTACTAATTTTATAGTTATATGATTACACATATCAAATTACTTTTGTCAGATTAGACAAATCATTGAGGTGTGACAAAGATGACAATCTTGCCACTTCTGTGACTGTCACGAACCAGGAAGACTGTTCACCTGAAGTGAGACAATGATCCAAACTACTCCAAAAATGAGACCCTCATTCCACAGAGCTCTAATTACCTCCAAAGGAAACTGCTTGCTTGAGAAGCTTATTGAATCACGACCACAAACAGTGTCATTACTACTCAGTCCTAGTTGGGCTCAGCCCTGTTTGTTCGCTTCCCTCATGCCTCACACTACAGGTGCTTTTATGAACAAAATATTTTACTTTCACCAAATAAAAAACCTTAATAAGCCATTAGGAATATCCTTCTGACAAAGTGTGAGAGCTGAGTACTTCTAATTCAGACAAATCAGAAAAGAAGGGAAGCAGCCTCCCTGAAGAGAATGTCACTATATTTGGCACACAGTGATCTTCATTTTTCTTCAAGCTCCCCATTTCCTGCCAGGTGGATTCCCAGAGGAGAGGACATACCTTCTCCCAGGCATGACACTGCTAGCAGAAGATCTTATTAAAGGTTTTCTAAGAGGGGAATGCTGATAGCTTTGCTCTTCACTGCTTTGCCTTCCTTCATCTTCACCTGCTTTCTTCTCCTTGGATGAAAATTCTCTTTTTGCTGGACCTGAAATGACACATAAATATGAAACCAGGTACCTGCCAAGTAGTTTAAGCAACTGCTCTTTCTTGACCCCATGCAGGTGGTGATGACAACTAACACTCCCGGTTTTGTACATGCATGCAAAACTTCCACAACAACTTACACTAGGAGCTGTACCAAGTTTCCACCAATTGCTATCAAGGTCATTGTTCTACAAAGAATAAGTATTTTTCAAGACAGTATCACTTAACAATAACTGTAATTAGCAGTAAATGAAGTCTAATCCTCAACTGAATCACAGCTCTCTCAGGTTTGCGATATAATCCACAAGTCATAACTCCCTATGGGATACAAAATCCATTTCACCAAATCACAATTCCGAGTGCTCCTACTGAAATATTTATTTCACATATCGAAGCTTAGACTCAGGTTGGCATGAATTAACACTTGCAGGAAAGGAGAATTTCTTCTTCCAGAGACAATGTTTCACCAGATGGATTTCTTGAGCCCTCCAAGAACAGTTATTTTGGAATGCTGCCACAGACATAACAGCATGACAAAATTACACTGGCAAAAAGGCAGCCCTAGAGCTGCTGCTTCAAGATGTTAATTCTCAGGGAGACAACTCAGCAGCTATTTATTTTCTGGAAGGCAAGGCTGTGGTTGGTCAAAGCTGAGGTGAACCATCCATGTGCTGGCAGCTGAAGAGCACCCACAGGCTAGGATCTCACAGGCACAAACACTGCACTCGTGTTAAAGAAAGGGAAGCACTTGGCATTATAAGTATAAGTATTCCCATGGGGACTGAACAATCTCCTCTTGCCCTAGTATCAAGCAGGGTCTGGAATCCAGGTTTCCCACTTCTAAACTCTGTAGGTTGCTCTCTTTTTTTGGCTCAAACGGTGTCTAACTATTGATGCACAGGAATAGCAACCTCAGACCTCTGCAGACACTGCAGAGATTCTCAGGACACTTTCCTTAGGTTGGTTCTCAGAACCTTTTCCTGAAAGCTGAAGTTCACACCCCAGTCCATGATCTGAGGCAGGCAGCAAGGCATTTCAGACTGGGTTTTCTTATATCCCCAAAGAACACCCTACTTCTGGACACAAGCACAAAGATGAACATCACCATATTGCTATTGTATATTGCATTAAGGATTCAACCACGATATCGCCTACTAAGAGATAATTTAGGTATCATCCTCAGCACATCAGGGAAAAAAAGAGCAGCTGGCACGCTATTTATAAATATCATTCAGTAGTCTGGAAACACAGACTTACTTGTTTTCTTCTTTTGCCAAAATGTTACTATGTCTTTGTGCAAGTCTTTAGCTTTTTTTCTGGCCAGAACCGCAGAGGCCTGAAAGGAAACAAAAGAAGAGCATGGAAACCTATTGGCATCACAACACTGAAACACACAGTGCAGTTTTTGCCAGAGAAACATTTACTGATCCCCAAAAAATTCTGGTTGCTGCATTGTATGTATAACTTAAGACCTACATGCCATCAGCTAAACTGGTCTCCACAAAAAACTGTTGCTTTTCTACAAACAAGAGTGTAGTTTGCATTACTGCTGAACCCACCCCAAGCACCCAGATTTAAGTCTTTCTTCATAGAATCAGAGACTGGTTTGGGTTGGAAGGGACCATTCAGCTACACCCCCCTGCCTTGAGCCGAGACACCTTCCACTAGACCAGGCTGTTCCAAGCCCCATCCGACCTGACCTCGGACATTTCCAGGGATGGGGCAGCCACACCTTCTCGGAGCAACCTGCGCCAGCGCCTAATCACTTTCAAACAATTTCTTCCTAACATCTAACTCCTCTTTTAGTTTACACTGTTTCCCCTTGTCCTCTTCCAGTCTACCCCTGTAAAAAGTTGCTTTCCCTCTATTGTAAGCCCCCTTTAGACACTGGAAGGGGCTCTAAGGTATCCCTGGAGACCTCTCCAGGCTGAAAACTTCCAAGAGTTATGCCACTTCTGATACTCACATGATCAAAAAAGTGGAGAACAGCCATTTTTTTATTGCGCCTGGTCATGATCCGGCGAACTTTTGCGAACTGGCCAAAGTGTTTTTCCAGCACAGTCCTGTCGTTGAGGTAGTCAGGGATGTTCTTGCACTGGACAGCCGTCAGCTCGGCGGTTGGCAGGCCCCCCGGCCCCTCCGTGCTCTCGCTGCCGCGGCTCCGGCGAGCAGGGGCGGTGGGGGCCGCATCTGTGACGAGAAGGAACACAGCAGTCAGCAAGCGGAAAGACACCCGGGCGGCAGGGCTGCCCCCCACCAGACTCCCGCCCACCTTCTCGGGCGGGCTCCCGGGCCTCGGCCGGCGGCGGCTCCTCGGCGGGTCCCCGCTCGGCCTCGGGGCCGTCCCCGCGCTCCCGCTGCTCGCGAGCCTGGCTGCGCAGCAGATCCTCCAGCGTGCGGCCGAACAGGATCCCGCCGCGGGGCCGGCTCAGCATCACCGGCCGCTTCTCCGGCGGCGCCGCAGCCCGCCCGCCCGCCGCCGCCCGCCGCGGCGAGCGCTCCCGCTCCTCCTTCCGCTTCAGCCCCTTGGACGGCGGCTCCCCCGGATCCTCCGGCAGCACCCTCAGACCTCTCTCTTCCGGCCGCCCCAAAGCGGTGGCAGGACGTGAGAAGGAGAAAGGTTCCCGCGCCACCGCCACCTCGGGGCCTGTCTCAGATGCGAAGGCGAAGGACGACGAGAAAGCAAAGGCGGCGGGGGCAGCCGGGCCCTTCTCCGCCTCGCCGCCTGACAGCGGCTTGAAGGCGGCGGCGCTCTCGGGCGCCTTGAAGCGGAACTCGGGAGCGGCGAATACGCCGCCGCCGCCAGCCGACGCTTCGCTGGAGGTCGGGAAGCCGCCCAGGCTGGTGGGCGGCCTGAAGCTGAATCCTGCGTTCCCCGCCGGGGCCGGAGCCTGGCCCAGCGTGTAGGGCGGCGCGAAGGTGGCGGCGGGCGCAAAGGGGAGGCCGGCGGGGCCGCCGCCCTGGCCGAACACGGCGGGCTGCCCGAAGCGCAGCGGCGGCGGGAAGGAGGGTGGGCTGCGGAACGGGCCCCGCGCCGACATCGCTGCGGAGGCGGCCTCGGACCGCCGAACGAAGCGGAACCCGCATGCGCGGTGGGGAGAGGCCCTAGCCACGGGGGGGAGGGCGGAGTGCCGTGGAAAAGTAGGCGGGGCCACGGCGGCAGTAGAACAGTAGGGGCGGGGAGACAGGTGGGAGCAGCGTTGTGGGCGTGGTCTAGGTGGGCGGGGATTCCGTTGGGCGGGCATATTAACGGCTGGACAGAAAGGCGGGCGGGGATTCCGTTGGGCGGGCATATTAACAGCTGGACAGAAGGGCGGGCGGGGATTCCGTTGGGGCGAAGCTGAATCCTGCGTTCCCCGCCGGGGCCGGAGCCTGGCCCAGCGTGTAGGGCGGCGCGAAGGTGGCGGCGGGCGCAAAGGGGAGGCCGGCGGGGCCGCCGCCCTGGCCGAACACGGCGGGCTGCCCGAAGCGCAGCGGCGGCGGGAAGGAGGGTGGGCTGCGGAACGGGCCCCGCGCCGACATCGCTGCGGAGGCGGCCTCGGACCGCCGAACGAAGCGGAACCCGCATGCGCGGTGGGGAGAGGCCCTAGCCACGGGGGGGAGGGCGGAGTGCCGTGGAAAAGTAGGCGGGGCCACGGCGGCAGTAGAACAGTAGGGGCGGGGAGACAGGTGGGAGCAGCGTTGTGGGCGTGGTCTAGGTGGGCGGGGATTCCGTTGGGCGGGCATATTAACGGCTGGACAGAAAGGCGGGCGGGGATTCCGTTGGGCGGGCATATTAGCGGCTGGACAGAAAGGCGGGCGGGGATTCCGTTGGGCGGGCATATTAACAGCTGGACAGAAAGGCGGGCGGGGATTCCGTTGGGCGGGCATATTAACGGCTGGACAGAAGGGCGGGCGGGGTTTCTGATAGGGCGTGGTCGCGGGCTCCAGGACGGAGCCTCTTCTCGGCCGGGTAGCGGCCATGCCATGAGCGTGGCGCTGCGGAACGCGCAGCGCGCCGTGGCCGTGCGCCGGGTCCCGCTTCGCCGCGCCGTGTGCGCCTTGCGCGCCGCCCTGGGCGCCTCCCGCTTCGACGTAGGGCTAGTCTGCGCCAGCAACGCGTTGATGCAGCGACTGAACGGCGTCTACCGACACTGCCCGGAGCCTACCGACGTCCTCTCTTTCCCGTTCCACCAAGTGGAGCCGGGGGAGTTGCCGCGGCCGTGCTGCCGCGGGGAGTACAACCTGGGGGACATCTTCCTGGGGGTAGAATACATCCACCAGCAGTGCCGCGAAACCGGGGAGGATTTTGACGATGTCCTGACGGTGAGCCCCGCTCAGGCCCGGCGGGCGGTGGGGCGGACACGGGGCTCGGTCAGTAACACGTGTTGTGCTCCCCGCGCAGGTGACGGCTGCCCACGGATTGTGCCACCTGCTCGGCTACCGACACGACACGAAACCCGAGTGGGAGCAGGTGCGGGACGCGCTGGGGCCGGGGAGGGTGTGCGAGGTCCAGCATGGGGTGGACCGGAGGCCCCGGTGATGGGAACCGGGATTCCGCCGGTGCTGACCGCCGCTGCTCCCGCAGATGTACCAGAAGGAAGTGGAAATCCTGGAGGAGCTGAATCGCCTGACAGGCTCCCGCCTGCGGCCCCTCACCGCCGGCCTCTTCTGAGAGACTGAGAGGGGCTGGGGCTCCGCCGGCGCCGCCCCGGACGTGGCGCGGGGATGGCGGCGCAGGGGCCTGGCGGCCGCTGTGCCCCGGCTCTGCTGCTCCTTGGCCTGGCCGCGCTCGCCCTGCCGCCGTCCCGAGCCGCCGCCTCCGAGCCGCCTCCCGTCGCCCTCCGCGCTGGCCACGCCGCCGCCTCGCTGCCCGCCGCCGCTGCCGCTTCGCGTACCAGGTGAGCAGCGGCGGCCCCGCCGCGTCTGACCCCTGGCCGGTCCTGCCCCCCGAGATCTCCCCCGCCGTGCGGCGTCTCGGCCATCAGCTGGTAAAGGGCCTGCTTCGCCTACTGGTGCATTTTTGGGTCGTTTTTGGTCGTTTTGGTGTCATCGCAGCTGTCTGAGGGCTTTTGTCTGTAGAATATCCTGAGTTGTAAGAGACCCCACAGGGATCAGCTCCCAGATGCATTCTTTTCCTCCGCTTCTCCGGAGCGCGTCCTCCCGCCTTTGTATCCAGCTTACAAGAGTTAGCCTGGGTTACGTATCCGTGGTTTCACCATTTTCACCATGTACCCCACGTTACCTTCAGGGTGAGCAAGACTCTTCACTCCTTGACCCGCTGCAGGACAGGCTCCTGGCACGTGTCACCTCAGCAGGAGACCCTAGTGGCCCCTCCAGCCCCTGCAGCACACACTGCTCTGACTTCCCATACTACTTCCCCTTCTGAGTACCACAAACTCAAAAAGAGGAGCAGCTTTCTTCCCAACAGTTTCATCACAGGATTGTAGGGTAAAAAAGAAAACATGTAATAGCCTCAATGTGCTCCCAGAGAAATGGTATTCCTTTGTTCTCCCCAGATACCTGTTGTATGATGTAAACCCCCCTGAAGGGTTCAACCTTCGCAGAGATGTCTACATTCGCATTGCTTCCCTTCTAAAGACCCTGCGGAAAAGTGAAAACTGGGTGTTGGTTCTGCCTCCCTGGGGGCGTCTTTATCACTGGCAGAGCCCTGATATCCTCCAGGTCAGGATCGCTTGGTCCGAGTTCTTTGATATCCCAAGCCTCAACAGGAACATCCCTGTCATTGAATATGAGCAGTTCCTTGCAGGTAGGGTATAGGATCATGCAATCTACAATTAATTAAATATTTGATATGGTTTCCTAAGAGGTTTTCCTTGTAGGGACTTTTATCATTTTATGTGAAATAATCACAGAGGTGGCAAGAGGAGCGACGGGAAGGAGCTTTGCTGAGCTACACAACCACTAGGATGGAATAACCCAATTACTTGGCAGCTTGTTTGATGTAGCACTGCTGCCCCCTTGACTTCTGGGACCCCCAAAGATAGACAATTAATGCCTTTGGTTAAATTTACCTGTGGTATTTCTGTGTGGTTTTGACCATATGACCATAAGGAGAGAGGCAGCTTGTTGAAATACAGACAAGCCACTTTTTTCCTGGATATGGTGGTTGGACAGTAAAAGTTGTGAAGCAGGTTCTTCCCTGAACTTACTTTTTCATCGTTGATATTGCACATACTTGAAATATCCCCTGTTTTTTGTGTCTAAGAGAAAGGCTTTCCATAAGAAAGTGAAGTTGGTTCCTTTAGGATTTAATGCCACATTATGCTAATCACCAAATGTTCAGTTTTTGAGCACTGCACACTGGCATGTTCAGCAGAGGAAATAAAGGCCACCAAATGTAACACCTCTGCAAAGAGGTCTGAAGGGAAAGCTGTTCCCTGCCTTCCAAGAAAATGCTTGTAGAGACCCTGAACTTTAGGAGAGGGGCTTATACTTGGCATTTTTCTTGGAGGCACTCCTCCTGTGGCAGCTGCTTACAGCACTGAAAACCTGTGTGCTTTATAGTATGTTTTACCCAGGTGACAGTGATTCTGTTGCATTTAGCACATTAAATCACACAGAGCTGGGTGAGATAGCATGTGATCACATTGCCTGACCCTTTTAGCCTTTCTCACTCTCAAAGAACTTCCTTTCCTTCTTTATAGGGAAAATGGGGAAGAGAGAGTAGTGTAATATTAGCATTTGTAGTTGTAGCATATTTTTAACTGCAACCGATGCTTGTTCATACCTTTACGGTATGGGTTTTAATGCTTACAAATCCTTTGCTTTGCCTTCTGTTCAGAGTCAGGTGGGCCCTTCATTGAACAGGTTTATGTGCTACAAGGCTACGCAGAAGGATGGAAAGAAGGAACATGGGAAGAAAAAATAGATGAAAAACCATGCATTGATCAGCTGATGTACTCCAAAGACAAACATGGCTACTACAGGTAACATCCAGCGTTCCTTCTGCTGTTTTCAATTGTATTCAGAGAGATAATTGCCTGCTGTAGATATCTGGGTTCTTGGAGTTCACTTTGTTTTTAAAAAAGCCTATGAATAGTAAAACATTGTACTGGTATGAGAAGATCTGATTCTATAAAGTTGCTGCTACACAGAAAAGCAGCATAAAGGAGCTGGCTGGTTTATTTGTATCATATGTAGTTTTTTAGGATGTTTTGTTCTATAGATGGCATTAATTTAAAATACAAGCCTGTGAACCAATCCTTTGTGTTCCCTTTTAGGGGCTGGTTCTGGGGTTACGAGGAAACACGAGGCCTAAACGCCTCTTGCTTGTCTGTCCAAGGATCAGCCTCTATTGTGGCTCCCATCCTTCTGAAGAACACTTCAGCACAGTGAGTTACCTTGTATAACTATTTATTGTTGTGTTATTGTCCTACAACCCCATTGCTAGGTGGGAAGAGCAGGGGGAATTTAAAGGGTTGTCCACTGTTGAGATACTTCATCACTGAATTATTGTATTCTGTTAAAATAATTACAAAAGAGATTTACAGTGCAAGAAACACTTAACAGTAAGTTTCGTTAAAGACTGCGGTGCTAAAACCTAAGAGCAAATAGCCTGTCAGGCAGTTTCTGTGACTCATACCTCCAAGGTATCATCAAATATCCCTGGATCGTGCAGTGGAAGAGATGCTGAACTATCAGCTGTTCCATGTTGTACTCCACAGCACATGTAATTTTACGTCTCTGGCACATTCCCCCTCAGCAGTCTCCTGTGCAGTGGGAAGTCCTGGCTCCATTAGTTGTTCTCCATGTGAAAGCCATTCCATGCCTTTGATTGTCACCACTGCCAATCTCTGAACCTTATTGAATCAGTTCAGCAGGATCCTGCACACTGAGTGTGGGTAACCTGTTACATTGCAGTACAAATTACATGTTCTTTCAAGAGCTCTCTTCTTTTTCTGCTAATTCTTGAGACACAGGTTCCTTGTTTTGACCTCTGAGTGTTGCCGTGATATTTGCATCAAACTGTCCTCATTCCTGACCATCAACACCTTCAGTTATTACATGAAGCCAGGTTTTGATGGTTTTTTTTAGTATGCTCGCTCCTATGTTAGAATTCATCTGCCACTTTGTTGGCGGTGATCAGACTTCTCTAATTTTTTATAGCTGGCCTTAGCTGCCTCTGTGGATCTTAAAATAATTAAGCTGTGTCACCTAATTTCATGCCCTTCTGTAGGTTTTTAGGAATATGGTGAAGAGGCCTTCCACTTGTGACCCGTCCCCCCCCGCCCCCCGCAATGAGAACCATGCATGCATTTATCCCTGTCTCTAAACTTTTTTTTTTCTTTAATCCATGCAAGAACCTTTCTGTGCCAAGTCTTCTTAAAAGCCTTTAATGAAGGCTGTCAGGAAATCTTGTTAGGCAGTGTCAGTGAGATGTCCCTTATCTTCATGTGTGGCAGTGTCTTCAAACTACTATGATTGTTCAGAACTCTCATCTCCCATATTGCCCTTCTGGCTGGACAACCAGTTGTGTGGCCCTAGCACTGGATTTTTACCCCTCAAGTATGGTCACTTCAGGGGAACTTCTCAATGCATTTTGATTAGTAACCTCAATCACCTCCAATCATCCTGTTAGATGTAGTGCTGCTTCTTCACCAGCACAGTCTAGTCTGTTTACAGGTGATTTAGGGCCTTCCATGCAGGTGTCCAGCTGATGATCAACGGAGATAATCCAAAGTTGATTGGTTATTTGCTTCCTCTCTTTTTAGTAGAAGGAGATGCAGATAATGACCTTGATCCCTTTTAGCAGAAGCATTTCTCTGTGTGTTTTCTTATCAGTGTGATCACAAACTAAATCTGCATCTCTTATGCTCTGGAATACTTGAAGCTCTCAAAATCTCTTCTGCTTCTTAGAACTTTGATGGTGCTAAGTTTTTATGTTTCCAGTACACAATCCTGAGCTGTGTTTATTTGTGAGAAGGGCAAGCTGCTGTCTACTACCACACATTCTGGTAATGTCTCTTGTGTTCTTTGATCTGTTGTTTTACTGTAGGACATTTTATTTTTACATGTGGAAAACACCTTCTCTGGGTTTGTTTTCATGATCTTCTGCTTGCTCCCAGAGGCTGTCGTGTGCTCTGAGGCTAAGCATTATCACACAGGTCACTTGTCCCCTTTGGATCACTCTCCCTGTTAGAAATCTAATTTCTCCTATAGCAACTATTACAAAGACTGTGAGGGGTGATTAAATGCTTGTTATTTTTTAACTTTAAAAGTCAGGATATAATTTATTATGGAAGAGAGCAGGCACATGGTTCCCTTCTCTCTCTAGCAGACTGTGAGTCACAATTTGCCTTGTCGAGAACTAGAATTTGCCTCATAGGAGCCTCATTCCCTTATTTCCAGGAGCCTGTCCCTCATTCCCCACGTTCCCTTAGCAAACAGACTGTAGTCTGTGCTTTATCCTAGCAAATGTGTAAAGAAACGTCATAATGCAAGTTCTATTCCTAAGGGAATTGCACTCAGTTTTACAATTTTCACTAGGTCAGTGATGTTAGACAGAGCTGAAAACCTTCTTCATGACCACTACGGAGGGAAAGATTATTGGAATGTGAGTATTTTACAGATAGCTTCTCTAGACTTTTTCCTTGGCTCTGCTAAAAATTCAGTAACCAATGTGTGCTTCAGTTTTGCTTCAGGTTTCTTGTCTTGAAAGTCACTTGTGTCTTCTGTTTCAGCAATGTGTGCTAACACGGTTTTCA